TCAATCAACCATGGACGCTTATCGTCTATGCTTCACCTAGCTCAGTATCTCAAGTGTGAGTTCGTCTTGTCTTAAACTAGGATTCAATTCATGAACCCTTAGCTAATAGCAAATAAAACAATTATTTACCTAATCATATTTATTTAAAATAAAATAAACAATCAATCCTACCAATGCTTTCTTTTTCTTCAGATGCAAAATCCACTAATGGATGTTAGCGATCACATTTTCCATTAATTGTCTATTTCTTGCAAATATGTATCAGAGATTGTAATGTCGTTAATCCCTGTCCATGCCTTATGTTTCGGAGCCAGGACATTTTATTGCGTCCATTCCTCTCTTGCCTTCAATTTTATCCTCGATTATAAGTTGGAGGAACTGGTATTTTTCATTTCGCATGATGTGACCTAGATACGCTTGTTTTCCTTTTCTTGATGGTTTCCAAAAGTTGGCGTTCTTGGTTTATTCTTATAAGGACATCTATATTTGTGATTTTCGCTGTCCATGGTATTTTTTAGGATACGGCGATAGAGCCACATTTCGAAAGCTTCTAATCTGTTTATATAACTCGTTTATGAGTGTCCAGCCCTCTACGCCATATAGCAGCACTGACCACACGTAGCACTTAGTAAACCTTAGTCTCAGTTAAAGATCGAACTCTGAACAAGTCAGTACCTTCTTGAATTTACGAAGCTTGTCGAGCTTGCTCATTTACTTTACACATTTTTACTTCCCTGTCCGATGCCAGTCTTCAAAAAGCCACGATCCAGGTATTTAAATTTACTCACTCTTTTAATGGACTTAGTATTCAGTGTTATGGTGGAGTTTTCAAGTTCATCCAAGTTTCTGGAGATGATCATAAATTTGGTTTTTTTTGGTATTAATCTCTAATCCATTCGCTCACTGTATTCTCCGATTATAGTGACAAGTTGTTGAAGATCGACTATGTTGTCACAAATTAAGACACCATCATCAGCATATCGTATGTTGTTGATTAATACCCTATTCACTTTTGATTCCCATCTTTGCATCCTCCAAAGACTCTTGAAATATGGCTTCCGAATAAATGTTAAATAAAAGAGGGGAAAGCACACATCCCTGTCGAACACCCCTTCTTATAATGTATGGGTTTGGATATAGAATTGTCTATTTTTAGTTGTGCCGTTTGATGCCAGTACAAGTTTTCAATGCATCTTATGTCTTTTTGGTCTATATCAACTTTCTTGAGGATCTGCGTTAACTTGTGGTGTTGGACACGATTTACTGTAAAGCATTGTAAAGCCAATGCTTTACAATGAATAAATTTGGCGATACTTATGGTATAGATGGGTGATTATGTGGCCTCCCAATTAGATGGTTAGGTCCTTCTGAGCTGCAATTTTTCCATATTTGTGTGGCTTCCCAATTAGCTGGTTAGGTCCTCCAATAAAGTCAATAAATTCTCTAATAATATCCCATAAAACTAATAAACTGGTAATACAGCCAATAAATCCTTGAAAACGGTCAATAAACTAAAATATAAGCAACAGCTTGTATTAGAGACACATCAAAAGGGGTTTAACTTCCTTGCCATTTTACCAAATTACAATTAAACAAACAGCAGATGGCAAGGATAAAATAAAAATATCATTATTAGTACTTAGTTAAATTTTGTGAAGATTCCCACATACATATAACTGGAAATGTGGTTTCAAAAGAAGTAAGGTTACGAATATTAAGAATGTTGTCAGAATTATAATTACAATGAAAGTCCTCCCCCAAGAGAATTCTGCAGACCATAAAATGAAGTTTATTATAATTCTTACCTTCTTTTATAAATTTTAATTATAGACAAAAAACATATTGTCAGAAAAGCTGATTGACAGAAAGTAAGTGGGAGACTGAAAATGAAGTTAGCACAGATGTCATAGGATGTATGCCTACGATGGAATTAGCTTTTCTGTCAACATAGAACAGAATAATTTATTCTACCGGACAGAAACAGAGAGAGGGCGAATATTTATTCTACGGGATAGAAAGATAGGGAAAGAAAGACAGAGGGCGCCAACTACTTTTTGAAGAAAAAATAGTAAAAACGAAACTGGGGTAAAGAAATTAATAAAGATGTGACGTTTATAACGTTACAACTTTCTATACGAGCTTCCTATAAATTTCTATATTTTACATTTCTATAAATTACGATATTTATTGGCGTATATTAAGGCCGTTCCTTGCGTTTCTGGGCATACCTAAGTTCCAATGTAAAAGTTTATATAGTTTTCGTCGGTGTTATTACGCAATAAATTGGTATGTGGGCATCGCATCTTGTATATAAAGATATAACATTTCTATTAACCAATCAGCAAAAGTCACAGGGGTCCTTTTATTATGCTGCTAAATTATCGACGCAAATCATTAAACCTATTGATATAATGCAAATGGAATACCTCTCGGTTGAAATCACAGTCTAACGGACTTTGTGTTCATTCGTGCAAAAACACCAATACAAATAATGCAAATCATTTAAGTAATAAATTGATTTTATCTCTTTGAATCTTCTTCGGCAGTATGTACAAAACTGTCTTTTTAGCAGCGGTAGAACTCAGATTGTAAATTAACTCCTACAGAGAAGGATATGACAATCATTAAGGTATTGAAACAAATACCGTTAAAATATCGTAATACAATAGTTATTGAAGACGATTTTGTTGAACTGGTAATGGGTGATTTAGTTTCTGAAAAAGAAACTTAGGTAGAATAAGAGCAGTATATATTTTATTTGAAATTAAGAAAGAGTTTTCAACTCCAATTATATAAATTATATATAGGGGAGATCCTTGTACTTTGGAACGGTTTTTAAATAAAAGCAGGTTTCAGTAGTTTTAAAATTTTATTTCGAACTGAGATTTTTTTTTTTGAAATAGAGTATCTTTAAGTGAATAAATAAAAAAATAAAATATTAATTCTAATGGCAAATATGCTTATGAATACAGAAAAATTCACCATATCCTAAAGGTCTCAAAGTACACAACGGGGTTGGTACTTTGGAACATAACTATGTGTACTTTTGAAACGCTTATTTATTGGACGTTAAATGCAGATAAATCGATAGAAAATGTCATCTCAGCATTTCTGCTGGCAGTGCCCCCCACTACTGGAAGGGGCTCCTAGTTTCATCACCATATCTTCGTGAGGCAAGTCATAGATAGTGTCATTTTCGAAAAGAAATTTGGCGGCAAAATACTTCTTTTTAGGTATCTAACTTTAAACCCATCATAATTCACTCCAACGACATTAGCAACAAAATATCGTTTTGTCTTTTTTTGTTGCAATTTTAATTGTAAAAATGTTGAAATATATTTTTTATGTTTAGATTTCATCATTTAAACATTAAAGACAGAGGTTATTAAAAGGTAAACATGTCGAAAGAGTGACACCTAGTGTCATAGATCAGCAAAGTGTTTAGTAAACTGTAAATAAAATGACTTAAACTTATTTATTTAATACAACAATTATTGTAATTTATATTAGGAATCCACTTTTCTCTTTTCATTAATTTTGGCCTCTAATTTGGAAACGAGTAGAACTTAAATTGATTATTTATTTATGCATTTTTACAATTCATAATACGACAATTGCGAAATCCCATTTTCTTCAATGATATAAAGCACGTTTTCTGTTTGACTGACTTTCTTCCATTTTAACAATAAAATGGAAGAAAGAAAAACTAAATAGGTATATAAAAATGCATGTATACCGTTTTTATCTCCTACTTTAAAAATATGATATACTCACTACGTAGTTATGATGCCATTTGCAATGGCGTGTACTACAATGTTGCTGTTACCAAAATTTTTATTTTATTTTGGTTAGGTAATCTAAATTCTGTGAAATCTGTAGATTTAAATTTAAGTTGTGATTTTAGTAAAACTTTTTTTGGAAAACAATATATTGATGTTAATACAGGAACAGTAAGGATTTTTAAATTACCGAATATAGGGTGGTTTCTCTTCAAGTGTAAATTTGTAACTTGAGAGCAAAATGTAAAAAATTAGGTACAACGAAGACTGAAAATCATTAGAAAATTAGATCTTTTCAGTAGATAAACTGCCGAATCGGTAAAACCGGCATCACTGTACAATTACGGCGAGACTAGTAGCATCAGTTTTTGCTTGGGCCATGCATAATATTCTCCCTATTTTTCCTATATGACTTACATTGCTAATATAGTATATGCTAGAGTCTTAAGCATCATTCAAAACGCCATCGGCACTACCTATATGACTAATATAATTAGTCTTTTTCTTTAGCAAGAGGAGACTTTCTTCCCTTAACATGTTGAGAGTATAAAAATGTAAGCTTTTCTCACTTGACGAGAGAAGGTGAATTTTATCCTAAGTGTAATAGTCTTTGTGTAGCCATGTTTTAATAAAAAAATAAATACATACATCTGAACTGAGAATACATACATCTAAATAATCTACAAATAGCAATGATGATCACTAAAATCTCCAGATGACACTACGCATTTAGAGATTCAAATTTTTAAATTTACATATTTTTCCCATTATGGTTTTAGTACCTTTTCGAGAATCGCATCATTTCTTTTAGAGTAAAAACAAGTTTTCGTTTTTTTTATAAGATAATAAATTAGATGCAGTTTAAAAGCCCATATTAACGGGGTTTTTTTTACATACCTAACTTATATATCCATATTAAATATTGTAAATTTTCTATGATTTTGAATTTCCTGGTAATATTAGATATTATGTATATTCCATATTAACTAATCATAAAATAGAATATTCCTTGGTGGAATTTGTAACATGTATTATTCAAAGTTATGTACGAGGACAATAGAAAAACTTCACAGTCTAGTTGTAAAAAAATGTGTTTTATTAAAAACAAATTTCTTTTTCGATGTCGTTGTGTTCCAAATAGTTAATTTACATTTTAGCAATCAGATTCTGTAATTGAAGTGCTATTATACAGGCTGTTACACACATCTATCTACCGTTGTTATGAGCTCTCCCTTAGTCCGAAATCCTTTACCTACCTGTCATACACTTCTTAATATTGATATTAGTCAGAAGCAGCGAGATATGGTAAGCAGGGAAAATCGTCTAACAGTTCTTTCGTTCAACTCAAAATGAGCGAGTACATTTTAATTTATATCATCATCACAATCATTAACATCTTAGTAGATGTGTTGTGGTTCATAATTGGGTTTCAGCAGCTCGGACAGTTTGATTGATAATATTTCTCCACTGGTCGCGGTCATCAGTTATATGTATTGCCTCAGTATACCGTTTTATTGAGAAGCTTTTTAGTAAGGTCCGCCCATCGCTGTGGAGATCTTCCGCGTTGGCGTTGAGTCTGAGGCCTTCCTTGGACCAAAAACCGCTCCATTCACATTCCTGATCACTTCGCTGGATATGGCCAAAGAACTTTAAAATTCTAGAGTAAAACGGTACTGGAGAGACGCTGATCCGGTTTAATTTCATCCAGAACCGAGATATTTGTACGGCGAACCGTCCTGGAATTCGAAGCAGGCGTCTCCACGTCCACATTTCAAAGGCGTCTATACGTCGTCGATCTGATTCTTTGACTGTCCATGTCTCGCATACATAGTAAAATATGGAAAAGACCAGAGTTGAAACGAGTCTCTTTTTGTTTGTCATAGTAATGTGACGATCACGCCAGACCCCATTTAGTTCACTCATTGCTGCTCTTGCTAGTTGAATGCTCTTCTAATTTCGGATTCACAACTGTCTGTGTTGTTAACTAGAGCTCCAAGATATATCATAGATGAGACTACCTCGCATCCCGCAATAGTTTGGGTTTCAGGAAACTGTTGTTGGCGATCAATAACCATGATTTTGGTTTTGTTGTAGTTAATCATGAGTCCAAATTTAGCACTTCTACCTCGAGTTTTTTTAATAATTTAATAATTTCTTCTGGAGTAGAGGCTAGAAGTGTAGTGTCGTCTGCGAAACGCAAGTTAGATATCTTAAACTAGGTTTATTCCTCCCTCCCAACCATCCAAAACTCTGCGCATTATGAACTCCGAATAGATGTTAAATAATAAGGGAGATAAAACGCAACCTTGGCGTACTCCCTTCTCCAAAGTGCATTTGTCAGACAGATATCCGTCCATTCGAATATATGCCACGTTATCTTGATACAGTTTGCTAATAAGGTGAGTCAAGTGTTTAGGTACACCCATTGTCGTCAATATGTTCCATAGTTTGTCCCATCTAACATTATCAAAGGCCTTTGTATAATCGACGAAACATATAAATATCGGGATTTGGTATTCTCTGGCTTTTTCTATGATGTTTCGTAACATTAAGGATTTGTTCTCTAGTACCTCTGCCCTTTACAAATCCAGCCTGCTCAGGTGCTATTTGCCAAATTATGAAGTTTTCTAGACGCCGTTGCAGTATGTAGAGGATCACCTTACTGGCGTGTGATATTAGAGCTAATAGCCTGTAGTTAATTTATATATTGCTCTTCAAATTAAAGAAGGACCAGAAGAACTATGTGTCTATGCAACAAAACTCAGGAAAGAGAGGAAAATATCTTTCTTTATTAATACTCCGCTTTTATAACATTTATTTATTACTTTTATTACATTTCAAAGAAACTCTACGATAATCAAGTTTCCATTTGTATTAAATTTAACAATCATTAACATGCTATTTATAGTAACAAATAATATTAAATATAAATATTTAGTATTTAATCCTTTTTCAATATGTATAAATTAATTGATGAAGTCAAAAACAAATCTATTATCTTAAACAAACAAAAAACGAATTAAATTATCATTATAAAATTCAATAAAATGTAATAGATAGCTGTGGGAATATATGTGGTAACAATTTGCCATATTTACGAATTTACTAATTTGTCTGCCTTCGTCTAATCATCCTTTTCTAACGTTTCTGCCACGGCTATTCGTAATTTTGTACTACGAGGGCGGAGAATCCAAATTTGCGTAGAGATCGGTTCCATCTCTCTTAAAACCATCGATTCCATCATGTTATATTGTCGGAAATTCGATTTTCAATTTGTTTTTGACCTGTGTTTAACAAATAAAATGGAATGTATCTTAAACTATCTTAGTGTTGTTGAAGTTTAACACCACAGCATGGAATATCTTCAGTACGCTCATGATTAAATTTTGGGAATTTTGAGACACCTTATGCACTTTTACAAAACTTAGCTGAGTTTAACCGGTCAAAAAGAAGAATTTCATGGCGGAACTTAATTTATTTATATTAATAAAGTTTCTTTATTTTCTTAAACCTCATGCAGCAATTCTTATATATAGCTATATAAAACAAACTATGTAACCAATCAATTTCATATTTTTTATTCGCAAGTGTATATAGAACTCTAATTCAGTTTATACCTTCGCCATCTATGGACCAGGCCGAGAACTTTTCATCGTGCCCTCGTAATCACGAATAAATAGTAACTACCTATATTTGATTTTAATGTTAATTGTCAAGGTAAGCAAGGTATTACTAAGATACTGTAAAACAGTAAGCTTTCTTATCTATCACCAAGCAATAATCATAAAAATATATTATTTTTACTTTTATCGAAGCCAATAAAAATATTAATTTTTAAAGCAGAAATAGAAATTTAACGTTCGGTTACAACAAAAAAAAATTAATTGCTTTCACTTTAACATTTGCCGTTGTATTGTTGGGTGTCTTCGTGATTTTTTGGGCATAAAATATTTAATTTCTTAAATTCTGTTTTCAATCTTAGGTTTGTAGTGGTATTAGCGTTTAAATTAGGTCAATCGAACTATTTTAACATTTTGTACTTGTAACAATAAATTTATTTTACAAAATGTTAAGCTAAAATAACAAAATAAGTTTAAAATAAACTTAGTTGCTACTTTGTGGCAAAATTTGAATATTTTATTTACCCTGGAAGATCACACCGATTTTTTTTAACATATACCACACATATGGGTATCAGATACCCAATGATTTTTTGTGAAGAAAACAAAAAAAAGTTAATATTTTATGATTTCCAGAGACTGTCTAATCAGTATTGAATACACATTAATAATTAAATCAATCATTTTATTTTCTCTCTCTTAATTGAAGTAATACAAAAGAAAAAAATATTAAAAATATTTAAAAAAATTAACAAACATTTTCTAAAAAAGCCAGAAATATAATTCAAAATATTTTACCTTAATTTAACAACAATATGGTCTTTCTAACTAAAAGCTAACAACTTTTTATTATAGAACTCATATTCATCTTAGCCAGGAACTTCAATTTTACTCATTATGGTGACTACATTCACAACACAGTTTAACTCTATGCCCCAGGCAGTATGCTTTATGGCAAGCCTAGCATGCATGCTTTGTTTTTCATATCTGTTCCTTTGCAGAAAATAACATCTAGTTTTGCTTTACTAAACTTGTGGGATGTTGTGTTGGAAGGTCTTCAACATGAATGAAAGCCACACATTGTTTGCCTGAGTGATTTCTCTAAACAATTTACTAGATGCATTTTCTTTCCAATGGGGAGTTGCGAGAGAAAAGAGCACCATTGCATTTATACCACTTGCATCAAGCATATTAAAAAAAATTCCTATGGTCATCGTCTGTATCCAAGCAACCTGGCAACATTTATAACTCGTTCATGATCAATTTCACTATCACTTTTATCAGTAACCGGTATTGGAGTTTTGTTCTTCGACATAATCTTCTTAGATTCGGAATCAGTACCAAAGATATTTTGGCCATCATCCTCGTTGTTTTCATAAGCAAATACATTTTCAGCTTTCCTTTCCACGTCAGCTTGGGTCAACGGACAACGTTTTTGCCCAATTTTCTTTCTAATTACATGAAGCCATTTCCAAAAAATGATTATAAAAAAAATTAATAAAATTATCGCAAACCTCACACATGGATGCTACATACCCTAGCGTTATTCAAAAAAATTTTCGTGATTGGAATATTGCTCGAATGAGACAGCAACTACATATCCGTCTTTGGCAGACTACAGACTGAATTTACATGAAGCGGCATTACCATTGAAATGCGGTTTAGCAAGCTACATTCAGTTAAGTGTCTGGATGGGTATCTCACACCCAAGTGTGAGATTCCAGGGTTAAAAAGGGTTATGGTTGGTTTAGGGATTCATACGTTACATCAGTCACTTTGGATTGAACATCAAAGGAGAAGTGGTATACCAATTACTTAAAAACTTTTTTGTCCAAATAACTTTTTCCAAAAATCACAATGTAATTGGCCAAAAAAACCTGTCGGGGAAGCAGTAGATACGGAGCAAATTATTACGATTATTGTTAGTCTTCTAAAACAGATAATATAGATAATACAGGTGTTTCAAAAAGGTAGGTCATATATTAAATCACGCATTCCGGGGACAAAAATAAATTGATCAAATCCAACTTGCTTTAGTAAAAAAAGTATGCGCAAAACATGTTACAGTCCTTTGTAGTTACAAAATAAAAATTGTTTTTTTTGCATTATCTCCTAAATACTTGACATTTTGTAATAAAAATGGACACGTTACAGTTACGTTCAAGTGAGTCCAAATCAAGAGAAAGTGGTGAATCGGAAAATTGTTCAGAACTATCATTCGGTCTTTTCGAAACATACAACGAAGAAAAAAGCAGTCTTGATGATGTTAGAACTAGCTCGGCAGAGAAGAGTGAAAGAGACGTTAGAACAAGATCGCGAGATACGAGTTCGTTAGATCATAATAATAAATCTACAGATGGAACTCAATCGGAAACAAGTGAAGAAAGAAATGGAAAAGATAAATTCAAATTTGAATGAAGCTATTAAAAACGTTACAGTCTTGTTCTGAAAGCATTTTTCATAAAAAAGAAACAACAAAATCTAAGCACACAGAAAAATTTTAAAGGGGGTGTACGTTCAAATCAAATAAATTTTAGTGACATCATTAGTTTAACACATTATTTTTAAAAAATTTTGCCTCCTATCACTTTTTTCAAAAAACAGTATTTATTTGGTTATGGCCCTTTTCATCAACCTTTAAAAAATTACATGCAACTAAATAAATGGCTTAAATGAATTAACAAGTACAAAAAATGTCTATAACCTCTATAAATATGATATTACAATAAATGTTCAAAATGACCCCCATTTCTTCGATACACATTGGGTATCGTTTTAATAAAGAAAACCGAATGCGCTGAAAAATCATATTTTTCTGACGAAATTGATTTGCAGCTTCAATTATTTTAATCCTCAATTGTTGTTCGTCCCTCTATTGTTACAGAATACACTTTCTCTTTCATAACCCCCCCAAAAGCAAAAGTCTCATGGGGTTAAGACCTGGACTTCTGGGTGGCCAAGAAATAAGTTCGTCAGATTTCTTCCAATCTACCGACAGGATACTGGCTGCAAAGGTATTCCCGGACTACATTACTGTAATGCGGTGGAGTGGTCATCTTATAGAAACCACATATTTTGATCCTATTGCAATATTCACTTCTTCCAAAATACTCTTGTAAATCGTTTGCCAAGAACTGTAAATAATTATCATCGTTTAAAATGTTGGAAAAATACATGGGCCTATTAGATTGTTATCCACAATTCCTGACCAAACAATAACTTGAAAGTCCTTTGGTGATGAGTCGTTTTTTTTGGCGTGAGGATTTTCGTCGGCCCAAATGTGCTCGTTATGATAGTTTGTTAACCCATTTCTACTGAAGGTAGCCTCGTCGGAAAACAAAATAATTCTAATAAAAATTAACATTTCGAGTGTTATCCTTAACAACAAATCGCAAAATCCAATCCTTGGAGGACAATCTATCAACCAATAACACTTTGAACCGTGTTAAGTGATAGGGTTAAAGCTGATGATCCTTCAAACGCCTCCAAACCTTACGTGAGGAACATTTAGTTGAGCAGCTATTAATCTTGTACTTGTTCCAGGGACTTTTTCAATGATTTTCTAAAATCATGAATGTGTTGCTTATGTGAGTCCATTTTAAAAAGGTAAATAAGAAATAATTAGATTTTACTTACAATCAATTTAATTTTACTACCTCAGACGACCGGATTTCGTTTTCTAAAATTTGGCAAAGCATCATCAGGTCGGTGGGACACAAGTAAATAAATGCTGAAATTACAAAAACCATATTAGGGCGCTGTCTTATAAGGATATATATCAAAAAAGTTTAGTTAATTATGCCAATATTACATGTCTGTATTAATTAATATGCATAAATTGCGTTTGCAGACAGAGTAACAACCCACAACTTGTTAAGATAAAAAGTCTGTTGAATTGTGATACATTAGAAATAAACAAAATACTAATTACATTCCGGATTTCTAAAATGTCTTCATCATTTGCATCCATTATTGAACGACCTTATTGTCAGCAACTTATCTACCTACTATCTACTATCTACTATAAATCGGGTGTATTTCGATTGGGGTATTTTACTGCATAACGCCTTGCGGCTGCTGCACTATTTCATTGACACTCCACCTCCGATATTCCCAATAGTTTATTGAAATCATAATTTAATCTGATCCAACTTAACCAAAATATTTTTAATATTAATCTTATTCACACACTAAGTGATACCTTCAAATTATTGACTATAATTAATGGAACTGTTTGTAATTATAGTATCCGTAGAAACTAATTATTGTAATTTATGGCCAACTAGGAAAAAGCTAAGTTTTTCGAACAAGTGATAAGAGCAAAAAAAGTTTTGAAAATAATGTGTTAAACTAATGATGCCACAAAAATCAATTGATTTGAACGAACGTCAAAAGTTTGGGGGAATTTAGGGCTCCACACCCCCCTTACAATTTTATTGTGCGCTTAGATTTTGTTGTTTTCTTTTGTATGAAAACTGCTTTCAGAAGAAGATAAGTTACGTCCATTAACATATTACAATATAACAAAAGATCATTGTTTATTGTAGATAATGCAAAAAACATTTTAATTATAATTTAAAGGGCTGTAACTGTTTATTGTGTGCACTTTTTTACTAAGGTAGTTGGATTCAATCACTTTATTTTTGTCCGGAATGCGTGATTTAATTTATGACATACCTTTTTGAAACACCCTGTAGATGTAGTCAGAACAAAGATAAATTTTTCAAATACCTATTAATTTATTTTAATTTTTTCATGATTTGATTGTAAATCATATTATTATAACGGTAATTCTGTTTTTAATTTAAAATCATCTGTTACAAAATTGAATAGTTACGCTGAAAAGAAACAATCTTAGCTATAACCAGTCAACTAAACGGACACCATTTCATGTTCTGAAACAAAATTCTCTTCTGACTCTTTAGACAGTTACATCGATTTTTCATAAAGAAAACATAAAAAAGGTATTCCTATAATTTTGTCGTAGCGTAGTTTGCCAAAGGCTACATGCAATCATCTATGAATGTTGTATGTACATTCGGTTTTATCTTCGTTGGTGGCATCTGAGAAATAGCTATTCATTAGTTTATTATTGCAATAGATCTTGAGTCTTTTTTGATTCGTTGACATGTTTAATAATTTTTTGAGGAATTGTTAGTTAATTTTGTAGTATGTTCCTAATGAAGTTGAAAAAATAAAAGAATCAACGAAATGTTGAATTCTATAAATACATGATAATATATTCAGCTTTAAACAACTTACGAAAAAGTCAAGTACAAATCAAGATACCCATCTTACGTATGTTGACTTACAGAAGGCATATGATACAGTTCCTATGTGGAAGGTATTACTAGAAACCATCGTTAGCTCCATTCTAATCAAAGCATTACGGAACTTATTTGAGGGAACATCACAAAGTAAAACAAAAATAGATTATCACAGAGATAATTTAGAAGGTATTGAAACAATGGAAATGCAAATGTAGAGGTATGGGTGTAGACCTTGGAGAGATGTGTTTATATACCTTGCAGTTTGCTGATGAGAAGCGAATGGTAAAGATGATCTGACATAAATGACAAGAAAACTTCAAAAGGATTATAAAAAGTGGAGGTTGAGAATTAATACAGCAAAAACTAAGTATCTACCAATAGGAATCGAGATGGCGAACATCGCATTAGAAGATAATGACATAATTATGCCCTGTGATCAATACACGCATCTCAGAATGGTTTTAGACTCAACAGGGAAAGATAACCAAGAAATAAATAGAAGATTAACGCAAGCTCGAAGAACGATAGGGAAGAATGGAGACAATTAAAAACAATCATAACGGAATCTGTAGAAGAAACTATCGGAAAAATCAAAAGGCAAAGAAATACGGAATGATATTATGATGAATGCAGAACTGCAGTAGAGGAAAAAAATGCAAACTAGGCTTAACTAAGTTCAAAGAAACACAAGAAATAGCAGAGAAATTTATAAGGAAAAGAGAATACAAAGGACTAGAATATGCAGAAGAAAAAAAAGAGAAGACGTTGAATTGAAAAAAACGTACAAAGAAATCTAGAACATAACAACAGATATGAGAGCAGAAAATTCTATAAAAGAATAAAAGAAAGCACACCAGTCATTTACGACCAAAATTGACAATATGCAAAGACCAGGACGGAGAACTACTAAACAGAGAAACCAACAAATTATAATGAGATGGAAAGAATACTTTGAGGAAAACCCAAATGCAGACAATGGAAATGATCACAAAGAGACAATATATTTTACGGCGTAGCAGAGCACATTGAAAATCCGAGCTAGATGAAGAAGTAGTTCAAATAATAGAGAAACTAAAAAACAGTAAAGCGCCAGGAACGGACGGAGTTTCGGCAGAATTGTTGAAATATGAAGGATCCGAACTCTGGGGAAGAATCCATTACCTGATAAAGTTAGTATGGACCAAGGAGCAAATGCCGGAGAAATGGGCAGTTATTGTTACACAGCCAATATATAAAAATAAAGATAAGAGGGAATTCCAAGATTACAGACCAATTACATTGCTAAATGTACGATGAGATGACGAAAACCTCAAAAATCATGGAGAGAAGGAATAATCAAGGAAATGAGCGCAAGAGACCTTAGAAAGGGTTAACGATATGATCGAATGACATGGAAGTTAGGTACGGGACAATGTCGCTAGATTATTGTTGTTTTGAAACAGACTATGTGTCTATAAATAATATGATCAAATAAGTCTATTGATACAATGCAAAATATCAATATCTGTAAAATTCAGTTTATATTAAAACCTACTAAACTTCATGATATTATAACATAAATAGATACAGCTATTTGTTCTGGCAACTATTTTTAATGAATGTTTTTAATTTCTGTTAAGAAATATTTTTTATTATTATTTTTTTATTTCAGGCGATGCAAGAGGTATTAAAAATGCAGTCAGGGGATATGACCATTGAATGGAGCTACATACCATCCAAGGACCTGCCAGGAGTTATTCTTCACGATAGATTGATGACGGACGCCGCTTTGGGAACCAGACCTATTAAGACAGAACATTCTTACAGTCTTACATCAGATGGAGATAGTTTACCAGATTCACCTACTTCACACCACAAAGTCGATGGTAAATAAACTTTGGATATTTTTTCCTTGCTTCTTAGTACTGTACATTTATTTAAAGACTTTTTAACATTAACTCTTAATTGGATTATATTGGCCTCGCTTGGCCACAATTAATATATTTCGCCATCCTTCTTCGAAACCTTACAGGACCCAGTGGAATTATCTCGGTGGCGTATAGATCAGCTTAGGTCGAAATTGTCGATTGTAGTATATTTCTATCAGGGCGAAGCAAGAGCTTAATTGAACAGAACAATACATAGATCGATATAAAAAAAAAACCTCGATTCTTCTATATGTTTGACAGTCTGTATCTTTGCCCTTTCGTGATTAGTGCCGCCAAAATTGCAATATATACAGAAAAACAAGAATGACTTCATTTACGGCAAAATGCAAAAATTGCATACAAAGGCTACATTCTTTACCTTTACAACGCATTTTGATGTTTGTCGATAGGATATCTAGATCAAAGGATATCGAATTTTTTCTGTCGATTCGATACAACTTTTATTTAAAGAATTGATCTCCGCGCGCGTATCTGACATTCAAAATAGTCGTTCCCTTCTAGCGTTGTTTCTGAGAGAATGGTTCATTCGACACAAAAAGTACTAATAAACATTTGTCTTCAAAATTATCTCAGCTACATTCTGAGTCCTAAAATTGATATTCTCAGCAAAAATCAGCTTGTTCGTATCATTTTTAGAAGTTTCAATAGCATTTTCGTTTTTGACTAGTGGAGTATTAGCTTAAAGAACATATTTACTAAGAAGAAACGGATGCAAAAAGAAACAAATGCCCCTTAATAAAAAATGTAGGCGATTGGACATTCTTATATAAGAGTTTGACCAAGTTTATAATTATACATAATAAACAATATAAAAATTTCTACAATCATTGTATTTCATTTGACAATTACGAATCGATATACGCCGAAAAAAAAGGAATACCTATAATTGTTTTACAAAGGTATTTATAAACGGAGCTAAAATGGGTTGCACATTCTTGACAATGTTACATTTCACTATATCAGAGTAACTCTGTGATCGGCCTAAAGTATCCTTGTCGGAAGGATTAGTCAGAGGCTAGTCTACCAGGAATGCTGTCACATCCGTTATTTCTGGTCGCATATTCCAATGAACTTCTCAAGAAAACGAAAACAGGGTTTGCCGTTTATGATTTTAAAATGAGTCTGCTCGACGATTCACATTAAAGAGGATACTGAACTGTAAAAAATTTAAGTTTTATGTATACTTAAAACCTCGTTGAACCATGTGGCTACGATGTTAAGTGTTTTTATTCGTATATATTATGGTATTGATAGTCTTTTGTGCACTTTACAGGTCTATTTGGGCTTATTATGTCCAGATAATCTTTATTTTATCCATACTAAACATATCTATATTCAATCTTTCTCTTATAATACCCTGCATCTACTACTTTTCCTCCGATTTGGAGCATTTTTTACGCCATTTTCTCTTGTTTTTTTAATAATTTTCTTGGAATTATCGCTTTGTTGATTATATAAGCTCTTACATTGATTTAACACAAAAGAAAAAACTCTGAATATGACAATCGCAACTGAAAAAAATAATCTGAGGAATATCTTTTTAGACCTATCTGAATGGTATATATCCTAGCATCCAGTTCACGATATAGGTGGAAACAGATTCATTCCTACCGTTGACGTTATCGTAAAAAGAAAAACCAATCGAAAGGTTTTCATCACTCTGTTTACCGAAAACCCCATACCAATCGTTACTTACATGCCAACTCTCATCATTTACCTTTACAAATTAATTCAGTAATTAATACTCTAGTCTCCAGATCAGTGCACTTTTGCGATGATGCAAGTAGACCCGCAGAGCTCTCTAGTTTAAAACAAGAATAAATACAACAATAGGAGCATCCACAGACATCAATCTCCCACTCAATCTCAACCTAAAGACTCAGATCCTCATCATACGGAAGCTTTTCTTCCATACAAACAAAGGTGTCACTGACAAAATAGACAAAATTCTTAAATCAAGAGGAATTAAGACCAGATTTACCCCTCAACAAAACTTTCATCTCTTGTTCGATCAATCAAACAACATTCCACATGAACTACACGAAGTTTATAAAATTCTTTGTGCAGACTGCCCCGATCTTATATAGGCCAAACAAATCGTAGAATCCAAAATAGGATTTATGAACATCCATTTCTGTTCGCAATTTCGATTCAATTTTATTTTAGCGGTTCAACCGGGAAGCCGGTTGAGTTTAATATTAATTCTTGTAATAGTATTAATCTTAGCTTTAGGTTTAATTGTACTAACTGAGAGAGCTGTTTTGTATATACCTTTTGCAGAAGTTATTTCGTGTTTGTAGGATGTTCTTTAAAGCTTAGTGTTATATGGAGTGTTACACCTAGATACTTTAGGTGTTAGTGTGGTTGAGAATTTTGTCTTGTTTTGTCTTGTTTTTGTTTTGTGAGAATTATCTGAGTTGTGTTATAATCTTCAGTGGTGGAAATATCTTCCGATGGTAGCTAGGTCGTTAATGTTTGCTTAGTATTGTTCTGAAGCTATTTTCTTGTGGCATTGTAAATTAATTACTATTTAACTGGGAATAAGCCACAATTAAAGATAAAATTACGTTTATTGACGTTTCAATTTCCACTTCGGAAATCGTTTTTTTGAGAACGCCAAACGCTAATAGTTGCGACCAATTCCAAATGATCAGCTTACTGAGCTTGGTCCTAAACTCTTCTTAAAGTTATTTACATTAATGAAATATCCAACAGAGGTTAAAGAGAATTAGCCCACACAGTTCGGTTGCAGACAAGGATTTGGCACAAGAGAAGCACTTTATAGCTTAACTGTCCTACTTCAGAAATGCAGAGATCAGCAAAAAGGTGTCTTCCTATGCTTTATAGATAACCAGAAAGCGTTCGATTGTGTTAATCAATCATAATTAGTAAGATTGCTCCAGGAACGTCCGATTGATGAGAATGACCTTAAAATAATAAAGAACCTTTATATGAATCAAGTGGCATCTGTGAGAGTAGGACTGGAATCTACTTATTTCTCAATTCTGAGAATCATATTTCTCAATCGAAAAAGGTATACGACAGGGTTGTGTTCTGTCACCCCTCCTTTTTAATCTTTACTCTAAAACGATTTTCGATAGAGCCTTAAGTGACACTGAAGATGGAATCAAAATCAACGGACATACTATTAGTAATCTTCGCTATGCTGATGATACAGTAATAATAACTGATAGCCAAGAACCGCTACAACGACTAATAGATAAAATAAACACTGAAGGAGAACGACTGGGCTTGAAGATTAATATAGACAAGACGAAGTAATGGTGGTTAATAGAAACACGAAATATGCAATATAAAATAAAAGTAAAACAATAAGAACATAGAAAAGGTCCCCAAGTTCAGAACAGCATTTACTAATATGAGAACCTTGCTAAGCAACAGCAGCCTTAACTTAACGCTTCGAGATCGCTTTGTAAAATGTTACATTTACTTCATACTGCTATTATGGTGTAGAAAACTGGACCATAAAGGCCAATGATTGGAAGCAACTGATTGGAAGCCTTTGAAATGTGGGTATTTAAAAGACTAATAAACGGTACCTAACTTGAAAAAGTAAGCGAATACAAATACTTGGGAACCCTCATCAATGAAACAGGTGACCAAAATCACTAGATAAAAAGACGTATTTAAATTGTCAGGTCATACCTTTATAAGAATGAAAAAATTATTTTGTAATCGTGATATTAGTACTCATCTATGAACTAGAATGTTAAAGTGCTATGTATTCAGTACTTTGCTTTACAGTGTTGAGGCATGGACTCTTATAAACAGAGGAATATTAAAAAGCTTGTAAGCTTTGAGATGTGGTGCTACCGCCGTACACTAAAAATAAGTTGGGTGGATAAAATTACAAATGAAGAGGTAATACGCAGAATAAATAACGATCCAGAAGTTATCATGGAACATAAAAAAGAGAAAACTTGAATATTTAGGCCACTGATGAGAGGACAAAAGTACACATTCTACAAAATATATTGCAAGGAAAAATCCAAGGACGCAGAAATCCAGGCCGTAGAAGAATGTCCTGGATGAAAAATTAAAAGATTGGGTTTGGCTGTACCACTAACGAATTATCAAAACAGCAGCAAATAAAATTAGAATCGCCATAACGATATCCAATCTCTGATAGGAGAGGCACTCAAAGAAGAATAAGAAGACTACTTAAAATTCCCTGGAATTGCACAACAAATATCGAAGTATTAAATCGAATGGTTAGAGAAGGAGAATTGCTGCCAATAATAAAAACGAAGAAAAACTGCTTATCTGGGTCATATATTTCGAAATTCCAAGTAGCAGTTCTTAAAGCTTATTATGGAAGGGAAGATAGAATAAAACGGGGCATCTGAGGAAAGAAATACTCATGGCTTAAGAACATAAGGGATTGGACAAACCTCGATGCCCATGCACTCTTCAGAGCCATTCAAGATACAGAGGAGTATGTCAGAATTGTCGCCAACATCCACTTATTGGATAGGGCACCATAAGAAGAAGAAGTTTTCAAAGCAGTGACCATACTTGTCTACTCGAGTTTTTGGAAATCTAGATTTTCAACTGTCTCAGTCTATTTCTCGCGCCTACCGATATAATTAATGCTGTGGAGTAAATCGTCTGCAATTTTCTGTTTTTTGGCTGTGAAGCCAAAATTATGTGAATTAATTTTTTCATAAGTACAGTTTTTTTTAAATATTGTTTAATAAGTGAAAATAATCACCAAATATATCAAAAGTAGTTGTTAGATACCTGTATCAACGAGTGTGATAGGAAAATCGTTAGTTTTCTGGTCTATTTTGTTAGTTTAGATAAGAAACAACATAAGATAAGCTCTTAATTTAAGGAACAATAATAATATAATAAATTAACTTATTGATCATTTATAACTATGTCGCAAATAGAACGAACATTGCACCTATACATGTAGATGATTATTATTAATACCGTTTTGATATAATGCTAGAATTAAGATTCTTAATTAACATTAATAACATTAACATTCATAACTTCGAAAGAATTTTTTTTTGTAAACAAGTGAATTCCAAGCATTTCTTTCGTTTATTTCTGATACTCTAATATAATTCACAGAATACATAAAACATAATTCACTGATTACATACGTAAACTTATTTTTTTAAAAAATCCAGAATACATTAGCGATATTTAAAACGTTGCTTACGTCTTTGGAACTGGCTTAAAGTATGTCCTTATCTAAATTATGTACATTGTAAACCAATTTACCATGCACATTTTGTCCATTATGGCGTTTCGCGACATAGTTTGTTTTAAAACTGGCACGTTCACTTTCAAAATTTAGCAGGAAAGTCATTTCTTTAATATTGTATATGGATGAGATAATTCTGATTTCATCGTTATTTGTGAGAATTATTTAAACTACCAACGCAACGATTATTGTGTTTTTACATAGGAGATATTGAGCATATAGAGACCAATTTACTTTGCTTAAAATCTGTTTTGATAAATATAAAATGATAAGCACAAGTGACTGGACAAAGTCTTATCCCCCTGTCAACTCGTTTAGTTTATGTAAAACAAAATGGGTAAGATCTAATGGTATTAAAGTTTCGATATTTTGATGAACCCACATCAGGTGACAGCCACAACCTCATTTTTTTAATAAAAAAAGTGGCCATGCGACACTTTATTTGAAAGGATATCAAAATCTGATTCCAAAAATATAGTACACTAATTTTGCTTATTTATTAACTGATTGACAACTTTTATATTAATAAATTTTAATAAAACCTTAAAATTTTAGTTTATCAAGTGTTCCAATTGTCAAGTTCTTGTAACCCCAAAAAAAATCTGATGGGGTAAAATTTGTTGATCATGGTGGTCATTTTATGAGTCCACGTCGTCCAATGCATCGTTCGGGAACGAATGACTTTGTTTAAAAATCTACATGTTCAAGCGACACGTCGATTTTGTTTTATCTTTACGGGTTGCTCTCATTTCACGGGATTCTATCCGCAGTACAGTGTTCTGGTGAATACCACATCTAGGTACATGATCTTGTCGCTGAAGTGAAGTTCGTCTTCCTACAGTCTGAGGACAATTCTTTCCTCAGCTTGCTGTGTGTGGCAGCCGCTAACGTTTGGGTGTCTAAAGAGTATGAGTTGGATTTTGTTTGGATTAGGTGTTACTCTCTATCTACTGCACCACTTCGGATCATGCATCGGCATGGTTCAGGTGAGTTTAAGGGTACCTTTGGGTGAAATCTGGGCCTCGGGATGTTGTTATGAGCGCACTGTCGTCTGTATAGAGTAATGTGGTCGTATTAGTCCGTCTTGGATTGGGGAAGACGCCGTTGCAGAAAAGGTATAGTGTGAGTACAAGAATGAAACCTTGATGGATTCCTACAGTGGGTGTGAAGGGTGGAGAGATCAGATTCTTACCTTTATACTTATGCTCCTATCAGAGACATACGAATTGAGGACTTTGGCAAAGCGAATGAACAGTCCGATGTTCGATGTTCAGCAGTTTCTGCAATAGTCCGGCCTACTAGGCTTTCTGGTCGAGAAAAATGCTAAGTACTTAAGAGTTTTTATCGTTTAGATTTTGAGTATACTACTGTGGAGCAGAAATATAAGGAAACTTTGGAGTGAGTTTTACGGTAAACCGTAAATGCGGCAGGTAGATATTGGGTTTCACTTCAGTTAATGGAAGAATATGATCCAACAGAAAGAGCGGTTGCTCTGATCATTTTACGACCAACTACAAGTAGAATGTACACAATGAACACGTACAAAAGCTAGATGCAGTTATAGTCTTGGATGATATGAACACCAAGTTGGGAAAAGATCCAATATATGCAGAATCCTTTGGTAAGCATAGCTTACATGATATTACCAGCAACAACGGTATAAGACTGGCACCGTTGGATGTGTTATACCCGATACTAATAAATTTAATCCAATTGATCATATATTAAGCGAAGGGCAACCTTCGTAACAGAGTCAGATTTTATAGACGATCAAATTGCGATTCGGATCATTTCTTGGTCATATTGAAGGTAAAACAAAGAGTATCAATGGTAAGAAAAGCGAAAAGTGCCAAGCAAAGAAAATGGAACACATTAAAAGTCATAAGAAGAATCAGTACCAGCAGAAAATAAAGTTAATATTAAATAAAAGAGGAGAACTAAACAACATCGAAGACGAATGGAATATACCACACAAAAGAAAATTACGAATACAGCAAGGGATACATTAGAGGAAACCTTAACCAAGATTTCCAACAAGTAATGAATAGCAAAAATTCAACTAGGCAGAAAGGTCGACAAAACAATTCCCGATTGAATCGAAGGGCGTATGAAGAGCTAAGAAGGGATGCAAGGAGAATATGTAGAAAAGAAAAAGAGAAATGTTAAATAGAAAAATACGACAAATTACAGACTATAATATCATAAGAGAGACCAGGAAAATTTACAAGGAAACCAAGCGATACAGTCAAGGACACATGACGAGACAACAGTGTGCAAGAACAAAAATGGGGTAATTATCAGCGAGAAAGAGGCACTAATAGGAAGGTGAAAGGAGCATTTTCAGAAAAAAAAAACAAAGCGAAGAAGAAGAAATAGTTAATCACACAGCAGAACAACTAGTTAAGGAACCAACGTTGAAAGAAAGTATAGACGTCATAAAACATCTGAAAAATAACAAAGCGCCTGGCACAGATGCCCACTTAAACAGAATGTCAGATAATCGAGCTGTAAAAGTAATCCAGAGATGGAAACCCCAAGGAAGTAGGACAAGATGAACGCTCCTAAAGGGTGGATAGACGATGTAGAGGAAGATCTTAAAACCATGAATATCAGGCTGTGGCTGCGGAGAGTAGCCGACAAGGCAGAATAGAAGAACGTTGTTAAGCAGGCCAATATCCACAAAGGGTTGTAGCGATATTGCAAGAAGAAGAAGATTTTGAATTACACTTTTTTTTTTTCATTTGCTGGTGTATGAAAATAAAAGGCATAATTCATCTGTGACCATTATTTCTGACATATCAATACTTTGATATGACTACTTTCATATTTTTGAAAAGAAAATCACACTTTCTATCATTTTTATTAATTTCGGTTAGACTGTAATACTGGTTAAACACTTGCAATCGTTCTTCTTCTTCAAGTGCCGTCTCCCAATCGGAGGTTGGATATCATCATCACTATCTTTACTCTATCTACTGCCTCTCTGAAGAGTTCTATACAACTACATTTAAGCCAGTCCCTTAAATTCTTCAACCATAATACTCTCATTCTTCCTATATTTCCTCCTCTTATCTTTCCCTGTATTATCAGCCTTAGCAGTTCATATCGCTGTTCCCTCATTACGTGTCCCAAATATTATAACTTTCTTATTTTTATTGTGTTTATTATCTCGCATTATTTGCCCATTTCTCGCAATATTTCCGTGTTAGTTTTCTTGTGTGTCCATGCTATTCTAAGTATCCTCCTGTAACACCACATTTCAAAGGCCTGTAACTTATTGCCTAACTCCTCTCCTGATTTCAATTTCTGGACTGGGTTCGTTATCTATTACGATTTGTGTTCTTTAATTCCAGTAGAGGTTTGTTATTATTCGTAAGTCCCTATGGTCTATGTTTTTTGTCTTTAGAATTTGGACTAATTTTTGGTGAATGGTGAATTCACCTGTGGAATTAGAAAAGGCACTAATTATGTTTTACTTTTAATTTACATGATTTAGCATTGCTAATATTTATAGGGTGAATATTACATTCTTTTATTTAATAAAAAGGAATAATAATTGCTTTATTTTGTGAGATAGGGTAATTTTGTTCTGATTATCGTTAATAGTTCAAAAATAGCGTTATTAATGCTTATTTCTGAATTCGTAGCGTTCGTTTCAGCAGCAGCTTTTATTATCCTATCGGTTCTCGACTTTTCAGACATTTTCTAAAACAAATATTTGTAATAATTATTTAAACACTCTTTGATTACAATTACTTCAACAATGATAGAGAAAGATCTCCAACACGATTGGCAGACCCAATGAAAACTTTGGTGGGAAAATCCCTTTATGAAGCCGTCCATATGGCACGGAATCGTAGCCAATGGAGCCATCAAGCTAATAACATTTTAAGTGTCACCTTGCCCTGACAAGAACTCAATTAATGATTAATAGGAGGACAACACTGGTATTAAAAAATGGCTACAATTAAATAAAGTAATAAAAATTAGTCCGTACAGGTTTATGAGAAAATAGTATTAAGTCAAAATAATACTGTGTAAGAATTAGAATGCTTAATTGTAGTAATACGATTTAGAACAGTTTTTACCAAAAGAAACGTTAAAAAAGTGGATATATGGTCGCTTTTTAAATTAATACGTTTTTCACCGGAAACCAGCCCACCTTGTCACAAGTTCGAATGCTACTGTTTGTACCGGTTACCGGAAGATGAGCTTTGATTTTTAATTGTGACATATCGTTTAACTCCATCTATTGAAATATTTTAAGAGGGCGATATTACAGTTTTCTGTGGCAAAAGATAATAATGCATAATTCATTTTTGGTGATATAAACGCAGAAATAAATTTTTTTGAGTTAATACAGTTTTGAACGGGATGTGCGATATGATCTTTTGAAGGCATAGTTGTTCAATTTTTATTTAATAACACTTTTTAGTTAGACTTAATGTACTTGACGAAAATAAGGGATTCCAGTGTAGACAAAACTGTTGTACAATTCATGCACAAATAGCTTTTCTTTCACTGGCTTACTCATATATCAGACGTTTATATACGATCTGCTCTAACAAGTTTGATTTTACCAAACAGTTGAGTTATTTATGTATCTCTTTACTTGCAGAAATGGATGATGAATGTTTCCCAGTAATTTCAATGAAGAACGCATGCAATAATCTCCAACACGATCCTTTAAATATCAAAGATGAACCAGCTAGTGAGACAGACAGCAATCATTCGTCCTGCCCTTCATCACCACAGTCTATTTACGTAAACGCCAGTGACGTACTATTAGATGTAGAAATGGTATGTAATCGTTATATAATTACACAATTTTTAAACAAAATATCATAGTAAAGTAGTTATCCATTATAAACTCAGAACCACCTCTGAAATTTTATTAATTTCTGATAAAATTTAGAGGTTCTTTAAAATACCGATTATTACTTTTACTTATTTTAATCAATATTTAATTTCTAGTCTCCCTCCCACGAAGCCCATACAGCTCTATTCAAAACAGCGACAACCACCCTCAAAACATCCCCTCACACAGTAATTCCCCAAAGAATACAGTTACCTATACAAAAAGCGAATTCTGTTATCAAAATCGAACAAACAGCTTTCCATAATCTACCTCCAACGCCACCGTCTTGCAGTAGCAGCGAAGATAGCGAAGACAATGCGACCATTTCACAACCAAGCTCACCTGCCGCCAGAAAAACAGCACGCCTCTTGTTGAATCAACCTTCCACCAGACAGCCTATCAATACTCCGCTCATCAGCAGTCAGCCAGTAAGTTAAATGTTTGCATGTTTTGTTTGTATCGTAACGGTTTCGAAAGAACCCTTTGTTACATTACTTTCTGATTCTGCTACTGTTTAATCCTGAACAGATGTAAAATCTACAGTTAGAGATACATTGGGTCTCATTCATTTTAGTGATTCCGTTTCTGTATACTTATATTCTAGTTTAGCGCGTAGTCCACCTAGTATTCTACACAATCGACTGCTCACGCTCATCATTATTTATTAACAATTATTTTACAGAAGGGCTCAACTGGCACTCTAGTCCTTACAGAAGAAGAAAAAAGGACGTTAATTGCTGAAGGTTACCCAGTTCCTACCCGCCTACCACTTACAAAATCAGAAGAAAAATCATTGAAGAAAATAAGGAGAAAAATCAAGAATAAGGTAAGAACAAGATGTTTTCTTTGTTAGTTTAAAATTACCTATAATTTATTTGTCATTGAATAGGAATTATAAACTGTAATTTTTGCTTTCTCTATTTACCATTCTCACACTGTAAAATATCCGAATATAATAGAAATAATTTTCTACATTTATTGTTATGGGCAGACGTAGGAGTGCCTTCGGTCAGATGATTTGCAATTAGCAATTGCAATTGTGTCATTTGCTCAACGTATTCCTAAAAACATAAGCATTTATCTACATCTCCTAAGCTGTTCAAGATATTTCTAGAACAAATATTAAAGCCATAAAAAAGGAAATGTGAAGGTATGGGAATTCCCATCCGAGACGACTTCTTCTATACATATTAAGTTTTGCATATGTCCCAAGTGGCAACGGGTCAAGATGAAGAAGATCTGCTCTATAAGCTCCGATAGCTAGAACATGAGTGCACCAAAAAATGGACAGGAAATAAACCTAGAAAAGAACAAATACTTATCAACAGAACAGAATCAGTGAGAAACTTGGAAATAGACGAAGATATGGAAAGTAACGGCACTGCAAAATTCAAGTACTTAGGATTCATAATCTCAAAGAATGGAACCACTGGACAAGAGATAATCAGCAGATTAGCACAGACAAACAATTGTATCAAACAAATGAACGGGTACTATGGTATAAACAGATTAGAAGAAATACCGAGAAGAGAATATGTAACACCTTGGTACGTAATGTAATGACTTATGAAGCAGTGAATTGGGTAATAAACAAACGCAAGAGATCCAAATTTACAGCAAGCTAAATGAAAAATTCTATCATGATTTAGAAAAAGTATTAGCACCTACAAAGAAACACTATCTCAATATTATCATGGGAGATTTTAATGCAAAGATTGGTGAAGGTGAACAGGAAGATGTCATAGGGAAATATGGTCTGGGAATACGAAATGAAAGAGGAGATATGTTGGCATCTTTTTGCGTAGAAAAGCAATTAGTAATAATGAAACACAATTTTCAAACTTCCAAAACGTCGTCTTTACACCTGGAAATCACCAGCAGATACACCTGAACGAGTTTTTCGTAACCAAATAGACTTCATATGTATAAATAAGAGATACAGAAATTCAGTATTATCAGTAAAAACATATCCAGGGGCAGATGTACCAACAGATCACAATATTTTAGTAGGAAAAATAAGACTGAGATTAAAAAGAGTTGCAAGGACGATTAAGCAAACAGTTACTATTGATAGAGAAACGATGCTAAATGATACTGTAAAACAAGAAATAACTAGTATATTAGAACAAAAGATGAAGTTAACATCAAGCAAAGAAGAAAGTACTGAGGAAAACTGGACGAGAATTAAAGACATCTTAAAGACTGTTCAAGAAACAAAATTGAGTGCGCTAAAAGCAAGAAAAAAACAAGGGTGGATGACAGAAGAAATACTGAGACTTATGGATCAAAGAAGAGAAGTCAGAAATAAAGATAAAAACGAATACAAGAGGATCCACGCAATAATCAGGCAGAAGATAAGACACGCGAAAACACAATTTCATAGTAAAGAATGTAATGAAATTGAACAATATGAAAAGAAACACGATACATTTCATCTGCACAAGAAATTGAAAGAGGTCGCTGGAAACAAATGGAAACAAGTATCCCAAAGTTTAGAAGACAGAAACGGACACAGAATATTAGACATCAATGAAAAGTTAAAAGAATGGAAAAACTACATTTCTGAATTATTTGAAGATGAGAGAGTAGAACACTATACACCGATTGCTATATCAGGTCCATCTATAACAGAAAGTGAGGTAAGACGTTCAATACAAACGGCAAAAAATGGAAAAGCACTTGGCCCCGATGAAGTAAGTGCTGAAATACTAAAGTTTTTGGGAGAAAATGGAATTAAAGCTCTGTGTAATCTCTTTAACAGAATTTATGACACTGGGATATTACCAACTGATTGGTTAAAGTCGACATTTGTCACAATACCTAAGAAACATCGTCCAAAGACATGCGGTGATTATCGGACAATAAGTCTGATGAGTCACGTTTTGAAAATCTTTCTGCGAGTAATACACAGCAGAATTTATACGCTGTTAGAGGACAGAATTAGCAATACTCAATTTGGGTTTAGGAGTGGCTTGGGCACAAGAGAAGCCTTGTTTAGTATACAGGTGCTAGTACAGAGATGCAGAGATATAAATCAAAATGTGTATATTTGTGCAATCGATTTTGAAAAAGCTTTTGACAAAGTCCGACATAACAAAATGCTAGAAATATTGGAAACAGCTGGATTGGACGATAAAGATCTACGAATAATTAGAAATCTATACTGGCATCAAGTGGCAAGAATAAAGGTTGAACAAGAACTGTCGGATGAAATAAATATAAAAAGAGGAGTGAGACAAGGCTGTATATTGTCGCCTTTACTTTTTAACTTATATTCGGAGGAAATATTTAAGGAAGCCTTAATGGAGACAACCGAAGGTATTATTGTGAATGGAGTAACCGTCAACAATATTAGATATGCCAGACGATACTTAGTCCTTGCCAATTGCGGAGAAGACATTCAAAATCTAATGAACAAATTAGAACAACAGACTTGTGATCAGTATGGATTAAAACTCAACGTTAAGAAAACTAAATATATGATAGTTAGCAAACAAAATTATATACATGATGACGGTATAAAAGTCGGAGATGCCACACTGGACAGAGTAGAGAAACTCGTCTATCTCGGCAGTAATATCAATGAGAGCTGGGATCCAACCGCAGAAATTAAAAGCCGAATAGAACAAGCCCGAGCTGCCTTTGTAAAAATGAGAAACGTACTTTGCAGTCATGATCTTAGCATTGACCTTAGAGTTCGTATGATATCTTGCTACATCTTTCCTGTCCTGCTGTATGGAGTAGAAGCGTGGACCCTAACTGAGGCTATGCTTAAACGCTTGACATCCTTTGAGATGTGGGTATACAGACGACTACTGAAAATAAGCTGGGTCGACAGAGTTAGAAATGAGGAGGTCCTTAGACGGCTGAACCAAACAACACAACTGGTCAATATAATAAAGAAACGCAAGCTGGAATACTTCGGTCATATTATGAGACACCCTGAAAAATATGATCTTTTACATCTGATCATTCAGGGAAAGATCCAAGGTAATCGTGGTCCTGGTAGAAGAAGAACATCATGGCTGAAAAATCTAAGGCAATGGTATGGAAAATCAACTACATCGTTATTTAGAGCTGCTGTCAATAAAGTCACGATAGCGAATATGGTAGCCAACATGATATCCAACGATCGATAGCGGTCATGGAACTAGAAGAAGAAATGAAGTTCATAATAAGAAGTTGTAGATTAGCAAGTCTAGATCGTATTAGACATGAGGAGTTAAGAAGAATGTCGGTAGAACAAGATATACTAAGATACATTCTTCTTCTTCTTCACTGGCTTTACAATTCGGGGTGAGTCTTCGCCGCATCCACTATCGTCCTCGATCCTCTACGATCTTGCGCTTCTATTTCCCATTGTTGTACCCCAATTCTAGATAAATCGGCATCAACATCATCCTTCCATATTTTTCTCGATCGGCCTACTGATCTTCTACCATCTGGTCTTTCAAATAACACTCTGTCATCCTCTGATCGTACCACGTGATCTGCCGATCTTATTCGGTTTGTCTTGATATGTCTAACTATGTTTTCAGTTCCATACAGAGCTACCAATTCAGCATTGCGGCGTCTTCTCCAATCCCCTGTGATTTCATTTATTTGAGGGCCAAATATTATTCGGAAAACATTTCTTTCAAATACTAGAAGTTTATTGATTTCCCGCTGGTTGGGAGTCCATGTTTCACTGCCATATGTAATAATTGAGCGAATAATCGACATGTACAGTGTTAATTTAGATTCTCTTTTTAGCAGCTTCGATCTTAATAAATTTGAAAGGGAGTATAATGCTCTATTTCCTGCAGCCATCCTTGCTCAGACCTCTTTTTCTATGTGGTTGTCAGCTGTGATTATCACACCCAGGTATTTAAACTTTTTTACTACTACGAAGTTGTGATCATTAATACTGATGTTCTGCCTATTTCGTGTTTTCTTCATTTATTCAGAGACCCAGACTACCTGTTTCCTTCTCGAGCTGTGAAAACACCTCGCTCACGTCTCTTGTAGAATGCGTGAATGCATCTACATGATCAGCAAAGGCCAGCAACAGTTTTGATCCTTAATTAGCAAATCCTCCTGTCAGCTCTGACGATATTTCACTTATTGTATATTCTAAAGGAAAATTGAACAGCAACGGTGACAAGGGGTCCCCCTGCCTAAGGTCTGAATTTATACCAAATGGCATTCATGTTCTGCGTCCTATCTTTATTTGCGCATATGAGTGAGTCTGTCACGCACATTTGCGTTAGTTCAACTATTTTTCTTGCTATTCCCATTTTTAGCATTGCTATCCACAATTTGCTTCCTTTTATGGAATCATATGCCTGCTGGAAATCTATAAAAATTGACTGAAATGTTTTAAGTCTCTATCAATACCAAATAAAGCTTATATATGTATTTTTGATCAAATAGTTACTAGTAATGCAGAAAGTGCAATCCAAATTAGATAGAGATGGAAAATATTCACATTGGAATTACTTTTTATGTTCAAAATGTCTTTTACTCTTAACAGAAATGTCGACGTACTTAATTACCTTAAGCATTTTAACTAGCGTTTAAATGACTGAACGTTACTAGTTGATTGAGAACCGTAATATACATATGTATATTATATGCTTAAAATGTTTGTTAACTTTTATTATTATAGCACAAAAATCACCTTGGTTTATCTTAGTCTAAAACCTGAATGATATAAAGCCTATTCACATATGCCACCTTGTTTATATTCGCCTTTGAGTTAAAAATATTTTTTTAACCATCGTTCCAATTATTTACAGATATCTGCGCAAGAAAGTAGACGAAAAAAGAAAGAATATATGGATCAACTAGAAAGAAAAGTCGAGCATCTCGTCACCGAAAACAACAACTATAGACAAAAGATTGACTTTTTAGAAGATTCAAACACTAACCTGCTTACACAGCTGCAGAAGCTACAATCCATAGTGGCAAGGACCCACCCCCAAATTATTAAGCAACTAAAGCAAAGTCATTAAACAAGCGACAATCGATCGATTTGTAATCGATTATATAGTATTTTATTTTTATCGTTATCAGTACAGCTATTTCAAGTCTATAAAGTACAAAGAGGGAAATCAAAATAACAAAAAACGTGAAGCTAATCTATTCGTGTTGCCAAATGCTTAGCATTTTGTGATTAATTTTTAAATAACTATCAGTTCAATTCGTGTAGGCTATATATTAATATACACCATTGTTACGTCCATTAATGCAATGATATCAATAATTTTCCGTATATTTGTTACAAACATAGGAACTGATAGTTTTTTTTTAAGTTAAGTTACATCGATTCTCTGGAATACATTTTAACGATAACTTAAGCCAGAGTCTTCCATCTTCATTCTTGTATACATTCCACAGCATAGACATATTTACCTAAAACCAAAGGTTGAATGTAAAAAGCTCAATAATATTTTTTTATAAAATGTATCTAAAAAAATAAACCGTTCAAACGTGTACTTAAAAATATATTTTAGATAGAATATGTAGGTATATGTGCCTTATAAATCCGTTATAAGTATCGATAGTAAGAACATAAAGAGTGCGATTTATGTTTATTTGTATTTCTTTATTTCGGTTTATATTGAAATTCTTTTAGTCTAAATCTAAATAAGTATCTAATATGTTTTTAGTAATTTTATTTGTGAAACCCCTTGCATATATACCGACTGGTTTTTTTAACGTTTAATGTTTTAATTTGCTTTTATAACTAAAACCGGCTCGAAGGACCAAAATGTTTTGTATATATTTATCAAGTTGTAAATTTATTAAGTTGTATACAACTAAGTTGTATTAGTAATGACAAGTGAACGAATGTCTACGTTTACAAATTATGCTGTTTGAAGTGCTCCCTAGTTTTTACTGTCTTTACTTATAAAATTAGAGTTTAAAATATTTGACGACTTTTTGTGTATCTCAAAAAGTGTGTTTTATTAACTTAGCTGTTTTTATATGACTTAGCTTGAGAAACATTCGTACCAAATGTATATTTTTTGAAAAGCTGAAAGCGGGACCATGCTTTTTTAGTACTTATGTTGCTTAATTTTTAATTTATATTGCATAGAAATCCGTATTGTTTAGTATATTGGCATTGTAGGATAAAAGTTTTATTACCTTATAAATAGTTTATTGATATTTGTTTGAATGCGATAACAAATTAATTAAAAAATTTATAGAGATGACTATTATTTTTGTACTCTTTCTAAACTTTTATCCTTTGGTGTTTATTAGCATTCTTAAAATTTAAACTTATTTCTATTGCATAAAATCTACCGGATAATTCATTATTTAGAAAATTAAACAAAAAATTAAGGAAAAATAAAGAAAAAGTTAAGAAATTACAGAGTTGAATTTAAGAATTTAAGTAACGAGGATAGGCATTTTAAATAGTGATCACAAGTGACTAAGATAAAAGATATTTTAAGCAATAAAAATTGGACGAAAAATAATATACTTATATTTTTTGTAGAGATTTTGTTAAATTAATTTAATCTTTATAAAAAATATTTGTTATTCGTTATCACATTGATAATTAAATGACAGAGACCCACAACTTTTCATATTTTAAGGTTAAGCTTTTCTCTTTTTTAATATTTATTAATCGAGAACATTACAAAAAAAATTTTAAAATCCTCAAAAAATCAGCAGACAAGAGACTGAAAGTAACGTCAGAATACTAATAAATATTGACAAAAATATATTTAAAAAAAAATAGAAGAGATTTAGAAAGGTACAAAAAAGAAACATGTTGACAAAAAAGAACTGTATGGTTTAATAAATTCTAAATATTAAAAGGTTCCAGAAATGCAACCAGATGAGATTTTTGTTGTTTTAAAAAGTTCTTGACCTGGTGTTATTTTTCAACATAACCTCTGATATCATTAAATTTCATTCAGTAGCCGCCAATGCTATTAATTCCTCCCTACGGTGTTCCTGTGGAATGCTGCAAACTACTCATCAAACTCTTTTAATTGGCAGCCACAATAACTTTTTGATTGACAGTCGAATCCCCATTGAAATGGGATGAAAAGCGCTGACTGGCGAAGAGGAACTTAAGATTTAAGGATAAATGGGAGTAAATCTGGCGAATAAGATGAATATAGCAGTACTTCATAGTCCAAATCCCATAATTTTCACATTGCCAAGATACTTGTGTAGGTAGGTGCGTTGTCTTGATTAAAAAATCTTTTTTTTTCTTTGAGCCAAGTGTGTTTTCATGAATGATTGCATCCAGTTTCATTTGAAGTTGAGAGTAGTGTTCTACAGTTAGGTTTTTACCTTTTGCAAGAGAAAAATTCCTTTGGCATTCCAAAACAACGATTTAAAGGAAAGGTTTATTAAAACAACCAGTATGGCAGCAATTGTTTTTATATAATAATTAGCTTAAATACAATAATTTATTCAACTCTTGTCTATTTTTAATATACGATTGATATCTGTACAAAAGCATGTACACTTTTGTCCTTTATAATGAATCATCTGGTTGGAATGCTTACCTAAAACAGACTGAAATTTTAGAGTCGATGATTTTTATATAAAAATTTATTCCGTTGAATATTGGTCTGAATAAGTGCAATTAAACGTAATCGATATCGTAAGCTTAATGAATATTTATATACAGGGTAAAGTGGAAAGAATCACTTAGGATGTTTTTGTACTAGATAATCTAATTTTCAAAATGATTCCAAATATTTAGGTAAATATTATAGCATATGCTGATAGATATTTGTAACCGAAGAGTATTTTCTTAAGTAAATGTAAATTATAATTTTTAGATAAAGAATTTATTACTGCTTAAATAATTTTTGAAAATAAGATTACGGAGTTTAGGTTGACACAAGATTGAGTGGTACTATTGACAAAAAATGTGGGCACTTAAGTTTATTTTGAGATATATATGATTTTTTATCCGTTTTGATTAAATTTAACAATCTAACAAGATTTGTTGGTTTTTATTGCCTTATTTTATATACAACTTGCCATAAAGAAATTAAATTGCGTGTCATAAGCAGGCTTGTTAATATTGTGCCCTTACGAACACACAACATTGTCAGAAAGTCGTAATAGAATATTTAAAATAACAAATAATGCAGGCCAACAAAGAAAAAAGATTTATAAAACTTTTCGAACAAATTTATGAGAATCCTATGTATTTTTTAGCGGTAAAAAATACGTATCACGCACAGTTTTCCCACAATATGATACTGGTTTATTCTATATTATAATAATTTGAAAAAGACAAAATACCGAAATACATTAAAATGACAGATTATTAGAATAATGCATTTTATCTAATTCTTGACTTGTCCTAGTATAGATCTGTACAATCATTTCAGGAGTCAATGATTTTGTATTTTCTTTCTCCTTTTTCTGTAAAACTTCTCAACTAGCTTTTTCTAGTATGCGAGGCACTCTGTTGTTCCCGATGAAGTGACCAACAGCATTCACCCATCATGTTGGTGTTCCAACGTCCCTGGGATCGGTTCTCCATTACTTAGATATCCTTGTGGAATCGTTCGCCTTGTTCTTCACTGTTATCACCCAGATTTTCAGGAAAAAAGTAAAGGTGGTTAAACAAAAAGTGAATTTTTAGGCTCATTAGACATCCCAAAACTCTAAACCTATCTAATAAATTAGCTACTATGAGCTCGTAGCTAGGGTATTTCACATTATCTATAAACTTAATTACTACTTTTTGAATGCAATCCAAGCTTGTTTTTCTTTAGTAGTCATCTTGGTTTCAAGCATGGAGTCGAACATCATTTTACGAATATCTGGTCCGACAAAAACACCTTCTTTCAATTTGGCCTGTGATAGATGGGAAACTTTCCACTCAAGTACTTCAAACATTCTCCATCTTTAGGCAGGGCTTTGATAAACTTTTTCATTAATCCTATCTTGATGTGTAGAGGTAGAAGGAGGATCTTTTTTGGATCTACCAGAGTTTTGTACAAAATTTTCTTCTCGCCAGCTGTTGAAACATTTCTTATGGGCCATTGTTTTGTGGACCAGTGTTTCTCTCTTGCTCTACTGTCTCATTCACAAATAAAACATGGAAAATTTGTAAATTCCTGTTGTTGACCAAGTAGCATGCAACAACTTTTAAATCTCCACAGATCATCCAATCGTGAGCTGAATAGCTGATTTTCTGTAGAATTGTGTTTAGATTTTTATATGTCCCTTTTAAATGGACTGTAATGAGCAATAGAAAGTGAAGCATACGTTTTTCCATTGTCTAAGAGTACAACTTTTAAACCTGTTTTTTTTAAGAGTCTATAAAAAGCCTCCAATCATCCTTATTATACTCAATAAAAAACTCATTCATTAGACCACCAATGACAGTAGACCAAATCCCTTCCTGGCTAAAAACCGAGCAAACTGTTGATCTCTGTACCTTGTACTTGTAAATAGATGTACCAGGCGACAACAAATTGTTTTCTTTTAACCTTGAGCCAAGCAATTCTGATTTTTTCTTTGTTAAAACCCAAAAATCTTAGTAAGTCATCTAACTCAGCTTCTGGAAACAACTGTGGTTGTAATTTTTCTGAAGGACACTGAAATTCACCATCACTTCCTGGACCACTTTCATCAACTTCTGATTCAATAGTACATATTTAAAATGCCATCAATACGTAGAAGAAGCTCAGGGACTGGCAGTTCAGGTCCGTGCTCTACCGAACGGATAGCAGACGGGAGGTTAGGATAAACAATCACGTTATTATTTTTGGAGTTATATCCAGAATCATCGATAGTACAAAATAGCAATGATTTGATCATAAATAACATACAAATCTGAAAGCTTTTTTTCTTTCGTTGACCACTTCCTGAAATCCTCAACACAAACATAACATACATTGTGAGGAGCCCAACCTTTGTCTCGGTCATCAATTTTCACACAAAAATATGCAAAATACACCTTTTTTACAATCAGTTATGTTTCTCTGAGGTTTTTTTATAACAAAATCACAACCAACAA